GAACTAGGTTTATGTTTCACAAACGTGTTTAGAGAGCAAGTGCATGGAACCAGGACAAGAATACGCCAAATTAATTTTTAAAAAAATGTTAAAAAAAGAAAATTAGAAATGTGAGAAAGAAGGAAGGGGAAAAGAAGTAAATAATATTCAACCATGAACCCACACACGGACTAAAAGAAAAAAAAAAAAAAGGTAAACGGACAGCCACATAATTGGATGGCCTAGAAATGGGACCGAATTGAGTCACATAGAAATGGGAGGAGAAAATCCTTTACGACGTATACAAATACTGCCCTACTCTGGTGGTTACCATGGAGACGAGACGAGAATATGAGCTTCCCACACTGAGTCTGACAGCATGTTGTCAGGCGTCACAAGTCCAGGTATTGATCAACATTAATCTTATGTGTTAGATAATAGTTAGATGTTAGTGTGTTAGATATCTGTAAGTTAAGATGACGTTGATCTATTTTTCTAATAAAACAAATAAAAAAGAACGCCTTTATAATGACAATAATGGTAATGATGATGTTAATATTGATAATAGTAATAATAATAATGATGATGACAATAATAATGAAAAAAATAATAGTAAAAGCAAGAATAACAACAATGATGAAAAAAATTACATTGATAATAACCACAATAATGATAATAATAATAATAGTACGTATAATAAATTAATAATAATAGTTATAATAATAATAATAATGATAATGATAATGATGATGATGATAATAACAGTAATGATGATAATGTTAATAATGATTATAGTAGGGGTAATCAAAATCATAATGAAAAAATACTAATCATAAAAATTATGATAATGATAATAATAATAATAATAATAATAATAATAATGATGATAATGATAGTAATAATGATAATGATAATGACTAGTAATAATGATGCTAATAATAATGATAATAATAACAATGATAAGTAAAATAATAATGATAATGATAAAAATAGGAATAATGATGATAATAATAATAATAATAATGATAATAATAATAATAATAATGATGATAATGATAATAACCATCACCATCATCATCATCATAATAATAATAATAATAATAATAATGATAATAATGAATGATAATGATAAAGATGATAATAATAATAATAATAATAATGATAATAATAATAATAACAATGATAAGTAAAATAATAATGATACTGATAAAAATTGTAATAATGATAATGGTGATGATGATAATAATAACAATAATAATAATAATAATAATAATAATAATGATAATGATAATGATAATAATAATAATAACAATAATAATAATAATAATAATAATAATAATAACAATAACAATAATAATAATAATAATAATAATAATAATGATAATGATAATAATAATAATAATAATAATAACAATAATAATAATAATAATAATAATGATAATAATAATAATAATAATAATGACAATAATGATAATGATAATAATAATAAGAAGAAGAATGAAAATAGTGATAATGATGATAATGATAACAATTATAACAATAATAGTTATAATAATGATAGTAATAATATTCATAATAATGATAGTAGTAGTAGTAGTAGTAGTAATAATAATAACAATGATAATAATAATGATAATGATGATGATGATAATAATGATAGTAATAATAGTAATAATAATAATAATAATAATAATAATAATAATAATAATAATAATAATAATAATAATAATGATCATAATAAAAATAATAATAATAATAGTAATGATAATGTTAATGATAATGATAATAATAATGATATAATAATAACAATAACAATAACAAAATAATAGTTATCAACACTTTAACGATAGCTCTTTTTATCATTTCAATGACAATGAATGTTGTCATAAAAAAAAAATATTATATAAAAAAGCAACAGTGACAACACAGTCACAATATTTTTTTTAACGAGAATAAAACGACAAAAACATTAATTTCCAAGAATCCATGTAAAAATCAACAGAATCATCAACAAATACACTTAATTTTTTTTAATCAATATTATTGCGACATCTGCACAATACCACCTTACGAAATGCACCTGTCATGGAAAATGATAGGACGGACCAACACATTGTCATGGTGAGTCTGTCATGGGGCTAGCGGCCACTGGTGAAAGGAGGAGGCTGTGGTGGGACTGCTGATGGCTCCAAGGCATTTCCTAAACTCTAGGAAACTATTCCCTGGGAAGATCCCGAACGGAAAGCCGACGTGACAATACAAGCAACGGCACGGTACCGGCGGGCGTGTCTGCGTGTTCCGTGGGTCGTAGCGGTGTCGCCCTCTCCCCCCCTCCTGGAGATAACAAAGAAAAAGAGTTGGTAAATGTATTCCCAGAAGACTTTTGTGAAGAACGCCCGTCGTGAGATGTACGTTGCAGCGGAGAGATGCTTATGCCGTCCGTGAGTTGCATGTAATGAAGATTTTCTGCAAGGATCTGTTATTAGCTGTCACGATTGAGGTGGTATCTATGGCCTCTATTACCGTGCGATTTGGAATTGATAGATCAGGTGAACTGCCATTACTTAGGCACCGCTGGTTCGTTATCTTTTTACCGTTTGATTAATTGATCAAAGGTGGATCATTTTGCAGGTTACAGACCAAAATAAATCCGATGAAATGAAACTGTCATATCCATAAAGGCAATATACAGCTGTGTATGTGTGTGTTTGATAGAGAAGGAAATTGAGTGAGAAAGAGGGGGGGGGGTGAGCGAGAGAGAGTGAGAGAGAGAGAGTGTGGGAGGAGAGAGAATGAGAGACAGAGAGAGAAGGAGATCGAGAGCGAGAGAGAGAGGGGGGGGGGGGGGGTGAGAGAGAATGAAAGAGAGAGGGAGATAATGATACCGAAAGAGAGAGAGAAAGAGAAAGTGGGTAATAGACACACATACAGATAGATAAATAGAGAGAGAGAGAGGGAGACAAACAGACGGAGAGAGCGAGAGAGAGAGAGAGAGAATGAGATTGAGAGAGAGAGAGAGAATAAGAGAGGGAAAGGGAAGACAGAAAAAAATGAGAGAGGGAAAGGGAAGAAAGATATAAAAAAGAAGAGAGAGAGAGAGAGAGAGAGAGAGAGCAAAGAGAGATATCGAAAGTCAATCTGAAATCTAATCTGACTCTCACGCCTTGCTTTTGCTTTCCATTTCAACCCTTATTTCTCGCTTCCATCATAACATTACCGAGTCTTTTGTCGTCTTCCTCATAAATCATTTTCTTCCATTATCTTCCTCACGGTTCACGCATCTCTTTCTCCCACGTATTCATTCCCCTCACTCCTTTTGCTTGCTTATTTCTTTCTCTCTCTCTCTCTCTCTCTCTCTCTCTCTCTCGTTCTCTTCTCTCTCTCTCTCTTCTCTCTCTCTCTCTCTCTCTCTCTCTCTCTCTCTTCTCTCTCTCTCTCTCTCTCTCTCTCTCTCTCTCTCTCTCTCTCTCTCTCTCTCTCTCTCTCTCTTACAAATATCCCTCATCTCTCTTCCCCCAGAAAATCACCTTCACCTTCATCTTCATCTTCATCATCCTCCACCTAATTGTCATTTCCTTCGCTCGCCTCATTCTCCATATTTTCCTCTTTTGAAATCTTCCTTCCAGCCTCCTTCCACGCCCACTATCCCCCCCCCCCCCCCCCCTTCCCTCCCCTTCCCTCCCCTTCCCGCCTTCCTTCCCTTCCCCTCCCCTTCCCGCCTTCCCTCCCCTTCCCACCCTTCCCTTCCCCTTCCCACCTTCTCTTCCCTCCCCTTCCACGCCCACTATCCCCCCTTCCCCCCTTCCCGCCTTCCCTTCCCTCCCTCCCCTTCCCTCCCCTCCCACCCCCCCTCCCTTAACCAACCCACTCATCCTAATGGCCGCGGGGATATAAGCTCGAGAAATAAGCCTTAAGCTCATCTCTTCGCCTCCTGATTGCCGGGAGAAACGTTTTTGTGGGGGTGTCATGAGGCCCAGGGGGGGGTGCGTGTGTGTGTGTGTGTGTAAGCACAAACACAGTAACACAGTACAAAAACATGAGTAGGAAAATAGCCACGAAAAGAAATGAAATTAAATCGTGACGTTTCGAATATATATGCACACACACACACACACACACACACACACACACACACACACACACACACACATATATATATATATATGTGTGTGTGTGTGTGTGTGTGTGTGTGTGTGTGTGTGTGTGTGTGTGTGTGTGTGTGTGTGTGTGTGTGAACACGTGTACAAAAACATGAATAGGAAAGCAGCCACAATACACACACACACACATATATGTATGTATGTGCGTGTATATATATATATATATATATATATATATATATATATATATATATATATATATATATATATATATATATATATGTATGTGTATATATATATATATATATATATATATATATATATATATATATATATATATATATATATATATATATATATGTATATATATATATATATTTCTTGTGGCTTTAATCCCTAGTCGGGGCCGCCGGTGCGGATTTTTCTCCTTCACTTTGCTCTGTCCACCGCCTCTCTTTCGCTGACTCCTTTTTCTTTCTTATCTTCGTTAATGCAATCCTCCCATCTTCTCTTCGGCCTTCCTCCTTTCCTCTCACTCACCTGTAACTGCCTCACCCTTTTTCCTACGTCGTCATTGTCCCTCCTGACAACGTGTCCAAATCTACTATCCTGTAGCTTTCTTGCTATTCCTCCTACTTTCAATCTCTCTCTTATTTCTTCATTTCTCACTCTATCCTGTCTCAGCGACCGTCTTAACATTTTCATTTCCGCAACCTGTATCTTTCCTCCCTGCGCCTTTGTTACAGCTATCGTCTCCGTCACGTACATCGTAGTCGGTCCGTCGGTCTCGCCCTCGTCTTGCACATCCTCCCCTTCACAGGGTCTGATACCTTTCTGTCGCACACCTGGTATTTTCTTCCATTCTCCCCCATCCTGCCTGTATCCGTTTCGTAACTTCCCTCCTTGACTTGTTTAACAACT